TGCACTTCTTGGTCTTTTCTGGTTTTATCCCATCCTCGCAGTGACTTCCCATGGTCTCTCCAGCCTCACCTAGGCCCCTCTCCACCCCTTGCCTTCCACTTGCTAAACTCTTCTCAGCTCATCGAATGCACCAAGGTCTTTCCCAGGTCAGGAACTTGGCAGATGCTTTTGCTCCGTCTGGATTGTTCTATCCCAATTGTCCGCCTGACTGGCACCCAGATATCCTTTAGGTCTCAACAGGGTCCTAAGACAGGTCTTCTTGACCAATGCCATCTTTATTCTTTCCCATTTATTTGCAGTCACAACGCAACTGTCTTTAATTTTCTTTTAGTATTGTCTAATCCTTCCCATTTTTGAAGACTATTTTCTTTTTTTTTCACCGAGGAAGATTCACCCTGAGCTAACATCCACTGCCAGTCTTCCTCTTTTTGTGTGTGAGCGACTGCCACAGCATGGCCGCTAACAGACGAGTGCTGTAGGTCTGCGCCCGCGAACCGAACTCTGGGCCGCTGAAGCAGAGAGCGCCGAACTTAACCACTAGGCCACCAAGGCTGGCCCTGAATGCTATTTTCTTTTATGTAGAAAGAAGAGGGAAGCAAAATAGAAACTGAGTAATTCCACTTTCTCTCACATCCACTAACTTGCTTATTCACTGCTTTGCTCTAAGCAATGCTAAAAGAATCTTTGGCTCGCCTCAGCACTTTTCTAGGCTTCAGCCCACTCTGGGTTTTACTCTCCCTCATACCACGCTTACAGCTCCTGCAACACCTTTGTAGGTATTTCTAATTATGTGTTGCTTTGTTCATCTGTTCTATAAGCCATTTTAAAAAATTGATTTTATTAGAACCTCCATGTAGCCTTGTGAATTTCTCTCATGGTCTCTCTTTTGGGATTATGTGAAATGCCATTTCCAGAATTTTTAAAAGTTAGTTTATCTGAATTCCTTCTTTTTAAGAACTCTGTCTTCTACCAAAGTTGCCAATGCTTCCACACTGCTACGTGCTGTCATCACTTCCCGGTCCTCATCTCACTCTTCATCTTAGCAACCTCCGACACAACTGACCATTCTCTTCTTTTTGAAACACTTTCCGGCTTGGGTTCCATGATGACACTCTCCTCTCGGATGAGGGTGGGGGGCTTTTTACTGGCTCCTTCTATGCAAGATTCCTCAGAGTTAGAATAAGCCAGAGCTTGGTCCTTAGGACTCTACTTCTCTCCCTCTCGCTCTCTAATACCTCTCTGGGTGATGTCCTCAAGACAATGGCTCTAAATAGCATCCATAGGCACTTAATTCCCCAATTTCTATATTCAGCTGTGACTTCTTCCAAATGCTCCAGATTCTTACATCCGAAAGCCCAATTTGACATTTCCACTTAGATACCTAAAAATACCTCAAAAGCCTGGAAATGAATTCTTCATTTCCCTTTCAAACCTCTTTTTCTCCTAGCTTTATCCATCTTAGGCAACAGCTGCACCATCTGCTTAGTATCTTCAGTACAAAACCTGGGGATCATTTTGGTTCTTTCTTTTTCTTCATTCCTACCCCTTATCCAATTCATCAGCAAGTCCTGTCAGTTCTGCTTGCAACTATTTTCTGAGTCTATCTACTTCTCTCCAGGACCACTCTTCCAACCCTGATCTATGCCACTGCCACCTCTAGCCTACTGGAAGTGCCTCCTAACTGGTATCTTTCCTACTCTGCTCGCCCTACAGTACCTTCTCTTCAAGAAGGCCAGGGTGACCTTTTAAAAACATGGTCTCCTCCGAGGCTTTTCCTGACCACTACATCACACTGAGTCCTCCTTCCTCTCCCAGGTTGCTCTCATTAGTTTACAAAAAAAATTTTTTAATAACACCGAAAGTTGCATAATTGCTAATTTGTTTATTGACTTAGGTGTCTCTCTCCCCAAACTAGAATGTAATTCCATGATATTAACCTCCATTATCCATGGGCTTAGAAGAATACCAAAGTTCACAGTATGCTCAGTATCTGTGGGATGAATTTTCAATAGACAATATCTAAATCATAGTGTCTTCTCATTTCACTCAGGATAAAAATCAAGAGGCAACATGTTTATTAGGACTTTCAAAGCCCTCGGTGACCTGGCCCCATTATCGCCCCTTCCCCATTTCTTGCTACCCTCCCGCTCACTCCCTCTGCTCCAGGTATGCAGGCTTCTTTGCTGTTCCTGGAAGATGCCAGGCAAAGCCCTGCTTGTTGGTCCTTCAGTCTGTAAAGTTCTTCCTCCTCATAACCACATGGCTCACTCCCTAATTTCCTTCAGACCAATATTCAAATATCATCTTCTCGGGGAGGCTTTCCCTGGGCACCTGATCTAAAATTTCAACACTCGCTGGGCTGTGCCACTGACACTTTCTGCATCCCTCCTCTGCTATATATTCTCCCCTCACCACTTATCTCTAACGTACCATCCATTCAACTTGCTTATCTTGTTTACTCTCTATCTCTCCAGTAAGAGGCCAGCTCTATGGGGCTAGGGGTTTTTGACTGTTTTGCCCACTTCTGCTCAGACTAGCTCTTGACACTATTAATAAATACCTGAATAAATGAACAAGAAACTTAAATCATTTTTCTCAATACATTGAGTAGTTGTTTAGTTAAAAAAGACAACTAAATGAAGATTTCTTGGCTATGTGTTAAATAGAGTGTTATTCTCATTATTGGTAATCTAGACAAGTTTCCTTTATTTAAGGAGGGACTATGAGAGAAGGTTAATATTTACAGAACATGAATAATGATTGCAAAGGGCATGAAACAAATTAAGTAATACTCTCAACTCTATTTATGGGATTCATAATAGGTTTTATTTGTGCTTAGTGATGTTGCTACTTCCTACACTATATAATAAACTTAAGTTCCATACACATCTAATAAGGAGTAAAGTCATTCCCCTTTAGCCACCATCTTTAGAAAGTGACATACTCTTCATGGAAAACAACTGGTCTTGTGTTGTCTGTTTTTACTGTAATTGTCTTCCTGCATCTCAACATTACAATTACTTGCTTAAGAGCTGAACTATTGGTTAACCTGCCTTGATGAATCAACTCGAGAAACTGGATTAATTGTGAGCTGAGCTTTATGTGAATAGTTGGTCTATGTTTCAGGCTCTACTGATCTGAAAGACAAAAAAAAAACTAACCAAAAATTTCCCGTAGTGAGGATGGGAAAAGAGCAGATTTCTGTCCTGAACCACCTGAGGCTTTGAATGACTTCCACTTTTCCAGAAGAATAGTTAAATAAATGAAAAGCAATTCAGAAACCAGCAGATAATTTTAGTATAAGCTGGTGAGCAAAGGAGCTGAGAAGATCAATTCTATTAGGGTTACCTTCCCTATCAGGTCAAATACTCCTGTTCCAGAAACGCCTATGAGCGAGTTGTGTTTTGCTTACATTTGACAGATTCCCTTTATTCATCCTTGGCAACTACAAGAACAGGCTCATCCAGTTTCATCGGAAATGTTTTGTTTTCCTTTCAAGAGCAATGATGGTGACATTTTATGGCAGGCCATAGTCAGTTCTTAACCAGAAAAGCCTGATTAGTATTAAACTATCTGTCAAAAGCACCCTTTTTGTCATCCATAAGAATCCTCTCTTGCCTTCAAGAAGGGCTGATCCCATCTGGGTAGAGGATTGTGCTGGGAAACTATGAAAAATAACTATTTAGGGGGAATGGCAAAAGGCAAGTATGGCTCTCACTTCGTACTACAATTCAGACATTTTGGTAACTTGAAAAGTCAATAAACTTAAATACCTGAGGCTATCATGCTGAAGTCCATCTTTTTTGTTAACTTTTCAAATTTAGGACTATACGACCATGCATATAAAATATATATATATTTATAATATTATTGAATGCATGAATGCAACTGAATATTAAGAAGAGTGCACATTTTTCTTTTAAACAGAACTAAATCAAAATTATTTAATTTTAATATTATTTTTAATTTAATTTTAAATTAATTAATTAATTAAATTTTTAATTATTTAATTATTTAATAATATCAATAATAATAAAATAATAACATAATCATATACATCATATATCATATATCGTAGATCACATATAAATTATATATTTTATAATATAAATAGCTATTTTTTGTTAAATGATAATTTTGTTGCTAATAACCCTGAAACCACATGGTATTAATTTGAGTTTAATTTAATAATGTACCATTTAAACAACTGGAATCTTATACCCTTAATTTTAGATCTTGAAATAAAAAGCTAGTACACATGTTACAGGTGTGGTGACTTGAACCCAACACATCTTTTTCCTAGGAATGCAGCCTCTAGCCTTTGCTAGTTACGTTTCACCTGCTTCAATAGTTTTCAGATAATTAAATAACGTATGGGGTGGGAAACTCTTGGAAGCTAATTTATTGTGACCACTTGAAGGGACACACCTGCACACACCCTAGTAGCTGCAACACTTGGATCAGAATTTGGAAATTGACAGAGCAGAAAATTGGAAGACACAAAGCACTTTTGATTTCTCTGTGGCTATTTCACCTGAGGAAGTGCGAAGAAATGTCCTATCACTTGCCTGGCTTGCCTCACTAAATTACTTCTCCTTAAAGGAAACTCTAAACACATTATTATTATTATTATTAAGTATTTTTTGGTTGTTTTTTGAGCTACAAATAGGAGGATACTGGCATCGCGCTGCACGGTTTTTGTATCCTAATCAGCTGTTCGATATGCAAATACCAAAACAAAGACAGCCAGCTAGTTTTCTGATGACATCCGTGTGCACACATCCCGTCCTCACTAGGGTTTCTGTTGAAGCCGCCGATCCACGGCGCTCACACCCAGAATCAGGCTCGCCCAAGGCACAGACTGCAGACTCGGCTGCCTCTCTCCTGGCCTCTGGCTCCTCATCCACGTCTCACTTCCTTTTCGCAGGCTAGGCAGCTGAGAATACCCTGAGTGGGTGGAAACACATTCCAGCAATAACAGCCCGGCTTCCCCAACTCACCAGCCTGCGAAGTTTCCTTTGCGAGAGAACTGGGTGTCAGATTTCAGAGGTTTCCTTCCCCTGTCCCAAGCCCTTGACCTCCTAGGCTTCCACACCAGCAACAGCACAGGATCTGCTTTACAGGGCGACAATCCCCGGGACAGATCCTTATTTTTCCAACCTGTGGCGTTGGATCCGTCCCCCGGCTGCCGGTCCCCAGCCCCTGCCCGTCAAGACTGCATGTGGCAGGACTTGTAGCACCACCCCTGAGTCCGCAGAGACGCCGGGATCTGGAAGGTTTGTGTGAGAAGAAGGCGTGTCTCCCAGCCCTAAGGCGGATGTGCGGAGCGCACCTCAGGCAAATCTTGGTGGTGACTCAAAGGCGCTTGGCTTCTGGTGAAATTCTCCCCACTGTGGGGCTTCAAGCCTTAGCAGCGAGCCCATTTTTATTCCTTTATCTTCCCGTGTTTTCTTTGATATTTCTTATTCAAAGAGCCCAGGGCACTGTGAGAACTGCTTCCAACGCATTGCATTCTCCTCCCAGGGGATGTCTCATTAACTATAGAGAGAGCAGGGAATTGCCAGTGGAGAACAGAGAAAGGCTTCGGGAAATAAAAGGGGAGTTGTAAAGAAATTAGTGTTTTAAAAGTTAGGGTCTGTTTATATGAACACATTAATCAGTATGGACCATCCTGCTCTTTGCCTCCTAAAGTCACTTCAGAGATCAGTAGGTTAGTAAATAGAGGTTGTGTCTATGAGATCAGATGAAATCAAGAGCACACACATTCACTGAACAAATATTTATTAAGTACCTACTGTGTGGCAGACCCTCTTCTAGACACTTCGGATTCATCCATGCACAACAAAGATCCTGGCTGGCTCTCTTGAGGTCACCTTTCAGACTCTGCCATCCCTAGTTTATAGACTGATGGTAAAGGTAAGAATCTAAGGTTGTATATACATCACAGCAGTTGACTTATTCCTCTGCGAAGAAAATTAAAAAGTTCCCAACCTGTTGCTTGCATTCATATTGGTAAACAATGAGATGACTGCTTAAATTTTAATTGTTTGACCTAGTTCTGACAGGGTCCCTTAGATACAATCTGGGAGGCAGTGCCATTATCAGCTAGGGAGTGTCTCCCAGAAGAGTGCTGTAGGAGGGGGTAAAGGAAGAGCTCATAACCAAAACAAACACAAACAATAGCAAAGTCGTGGGAAAGAGGAGTACTGGAGAAAACATTTGGTCCCACAGGAATCTGTCTGTTAGGAAAATATGGAACAAGTTCTATTTTCTGTGCCTCAATGTTTTTATCTTGAAAACGGGGATAATAAAATGCCTTCATAGAGTTATTGTGAGTAAATGAGCTCATATCAGCAGAGTGCTTGGAACAGTACCTGGCACAGTAAATTCTATATATGTGCTGGCTATACTTATTATTTTAGTAGCACTTTTCTACTCCATTCTCTCAAAGTTTTAAGGTCCAATTCATAAAAATTATTCTGATCTACTAGGAGGAAGTATAGGATGTTCAGGTTGTAGATTTTCAAAATATATATGCTGGGAATCTCTATTTATGGTAAATCCTATTTTGCAACCCTTAGCAATATCTAAGTACATGAAAAGTGTGTGTCCATGAACCTGGAGAGAGATTACAAAACAGAACATAACAACCTTGAATTAATTCCACTGTGTATAGCACATTAATTTAAAATGATTCTCGATGCTATACAATGATAATCTGTATTCTTCATCTAGTTCATGTGTTCACCTACACACATTAATCCTAATAGCTATTATTTCCCATACGCAATAGAATTTATAAAGCCCTTACCCATAGGTCATCTCATTTGACTTTCACAACATTGCTTTGAAATAGACAAGGCATCTATTATTTTTATTGTCCCCATTTTAAGAATGAAGAAATTGAGGTTGAGGAAGTCACAATGATGTGCCCAGAATCATGAAGGTCCATAAAGGTAGAACTCAGGTCTGCTGATCCGGAAGGCAGAGCTCACAGCGGTCACTACACTGTGCTGCCTCCATATTTCTAGAAAAAGTTCCTGCTGTGAGGAAGTCTAACACACACACTTATTGTCTGCTCTCCTTGTCACATTTCCCCAGATAAGTATGTCAGTTGCCTCAAAGGGTCAACTCTTGCAGGGACAGCTCTCTTAGAGTCATTTGCCACTTAAGTCCTGTCTTTCTGGTTCCAAGGGTCAAAGGCACTAGAGTTACATAGTGATGCTACTTGGCTACTCCACGGTGAAACTTTTCCTTCCCTGTGGGAAGAGGGATTCCAGGGGGGAGAAGGTGGTGGGAGAACGTGAGAGAAATGGTTCAATGATTCTTGGCCACTACATGAAGGCCACTTTAACCAGAAGTAGAGCAGAATAAAAGACCCTGGAACCAGTGAAAACAAGGTGACAGCATCATGCACCATAATAAAAAAATGAATACCTGCCTGGACCTGGAGTTTATGTAGCACAAATTAAATAGACATAATTTCTGTAAATAGGTTTATCATTCAATAAATGCAGCACTGCGGTAAACACATATATGAATGTACATGGTAGACTTCTAGTTGAAAATGGAAAATTGATCACATGTGTTTCATCTCCCCTTCCTCAAACTCCTTTAACACAAGAATCAATAAATTTTTTAATAGTTATTAAATCATAAAGACAAATAAAAGGAAGAGGAGACATCAAAAGACAAACTGCAATGGATGGTGGGAAGAACCCAAGGCAGATGGAGGCTTGGTAACTGATTTGGAAGAGGAGAAGAGTTTATATACTGCATGCCTGTAGGAGGGGTTATAGATAAGAAACAAGATAATTCTCCCTGCATAATCCAGGGAGGCTCAGGCCTAGGAGGCAGAAATATTACCATAGAAGGAGGCCAGGTGGTGGGGTAAACACAGGGGTTTGGTTAGATGTCTGTATACAGAATGCTTGGACCCAGAGTTCCCTTCCCCACTGTTGTGCAATCAACCAACCATAAGTTCCTCCATCTGCTCAACCCAGCCTCCAGGAGACTGGAGGTTTATTTTTTGGAGAAAGTAAATTAGAATAATTTGTGGTTTAACAAGATGAACTGAACACATGCACACTTGCATTTTCACTCTGCTCCTACAGAAAATGAATTAAAAAGAAACTTATATAGAACAGAGGAAAGAAATCTCTTGAAATTGAAAATATACTCAAAATTTTAAAAATTTGACAGATGGATTATGAGATTAAGTTGAAAAATTCTTCAGGAAGACAGAACAAAAAGTTATTGAAATAAAAAATTGGAGTAAAGGGAAAAATTTCTGACTAATAGGGATCCTGGAAAGTTTCAGAAGAGTTCTTTCTATCCAGAAAGGGATGGAAAAATTAATTAAAGAAATAATGCAAAAACAATTCCAAAAATGAAGACTATGGATTTTAGGGATCAAAAGTTCCACCAAAAGTCCAAGAGAACATTTTTTAAATTAATTGATTAATTAATTAAACACACCAAAATACATCATTCTGAAATATTAGAAGCCCAGGAATAAAGAGAAGAACCGAAAATACCTTCCAGAAAAATAAAGCAGCTCGCATACAAAGAAAAAGAATAAAAATTGTACTGAATTTCTCAAGAGCAGTAATGGATCCAGAATATTTTTTAAATGACTTCACATTTTTAAAATGAAATTATTTTGAATTTAGATTTGTCTACCCAGACAAAATGTCAGCCAAGTGTGATTAAAGATGTTTCCAGACATGCAAGGATTCAAAAATATACTTCTTGTACCGTTTTTAAAGATGGGTCCCTCAAACAACCTTATAAATCAAGAACGAGGAAGAGATGGAACCTAAGAAATGCAGGTCCAGTGCAGGAGCCAGGAAAGTGAATTCTCCAGAAGAACAATTGCAAAGCCAGCCTAGAAAGAAGCAGGATGATGGATTGCAGTAGGAAAGTCTCCAAGAAAAAAGAAAAAGAGAGTAATTATTTGATGTACATGTACATTTGAAAAATTATTGATAAATGTGTGTCCACTGGAAACTAAAAGTACTCATCCAAGTCCATGTTCTTCTCTTTTTCCTGAGCACCCCACTAGTTTTCATTTCTTAGACCTGTGCAGGTAAGGAGGCGTATAACTGAGTTCTAGCCAGTGTTATGTGGGCAGCAGTGATACACACCACTTCCAGGCCATTCCCATAAAATGACCTAGGAGATTCTCCATGCTTTCCCTCTTTCCTTGTTAGTATCCAGACACAAAGATTCAGTGAAGAGTTCTGAGGCCCTAGAAGACATTAAAGCCCTGAGATGAAAGAAATTTCTGGCTCTGAATAATGCTGTGGCATCGAAACCCTATCTGCAACACGTTGGACTGTGATATATACAAGAAATAAACTGTATAAAACCACTGAGATTTTGGGGGTTGTTATAGCCGTTAGACTATTCTGGTTGTTACAGTTTGAAAGATCACTTGGGGGCATTTGTGAATAATTTACAGTAGGTACAAAGTATACTAAACAAATTGAAAAAAAAAGGGTATTACTAACTCCAGGAAAAACAGAAGGCTATGAGAGAAAAGAAACAATGATAATATAACGCTTTGTTCAGATGTGGATAGAATCAGAATACTGGGACCAGTGACAGCAGAGTAACAATAAACTATGATATAGCTATATGTGGACAGTGGGGATAAGGAAAGACAGCCTGCGTATATGTGTGAATAAGACAACTCAATCCTCAACCGTTATAACATAGAGTTAATAAAAAAATGTGTAAAATTGCTAAACAGAGTAATACCAGAATAAGCAAGTCATTTAGAAATATGTAAGTAAGTACAACAAAAAATCACTAAAAGAGTCAAATGCTTTGCTGTGTGGATTGAGACTGGGGCTTAGGAGATCTGTGCTAGTTTCTAAGAAATTTAGTACCATTTTTTTAAAAGTGAGATGTATTACCTTAGTAAAAATAAAATTAATATTAATCTTAAAATATACCTAGGGAAACAAAAGATATTTGTTCAATAGAGAAAACGTTATGATTTATTAAAGTATTTGCCTATATTTTTGCATAATAACCTATAAGCAGTGGAGAAAGTGAATTTGGGGTGCAGAATGAAGATAGATTTGAGAGTGCACAGTCATTTATGCACTCAACAAACACTTATTAAGTAATGTTTGCCTGATACTATGCTAGGCATGGGGGAATAAAGTGGAGAACACAAAAAATATAAGGTACCCTAAGAGAAAATGAGCATTTAAAGCTTGAAACAACAAATATATTTGGTTTCTTCTCTCTTGTCCTTGGTGACATGAGCCACTGACTTAACTTTTTAGGTAAGATACTGCCCTTCAAAATACTCTTAAAAATTGCCATCTTGTCTCTTGACTTGAACCCCACACTGAGGAGATCAGAGATTTCCTAGCTCACCTTTCTGGGATTGCAGAGAAGGCTTTGCCACGTAGTCATGCATGGGTTTGCCTCCACCCTCTGCTGATTTTCAGTTCATATGAAGTCTGTCTA